GGAGAAGCCATTCACAGTGACACAGCAGTGGCACAACTGGACCCAGGTGGGAAGGTCCTGGGTTCACATGCCAAAGCATCGCTGAATATGTGAGGCACACCCACAGGTAGGTAATCTGGGCTGGCTGGGAAGGGATCACGGCATGAAGATACCGCCGTATTGTGACTCTCTCTGACTTAGCTCTCTTGGAAGAAATAATAAGCTTAAAAATATTTTTTTTTTAAATAAGAAGGACAAGGAAAGTCTGTGTAACAGAATAGAAAGACATTAATGGATCTAACATGAAACTATAAATAAAACCCAATAGTACCAAAAGAGATTCTAACACATGGAAAATTCGACATGAAAATCATAGTGATACAGATACAAGTTGCATGTTAATGTCTTTTTTTCCTGATTTGGGGCATGTGTGTGTTTTGGTTCACACTAATGATTTTCCACCTTGGGTACACTAAAATCACCTGAGCAGCCTTTAATAAAACACTACATACTGGGCCCCAAGCCAAGCCAATTAAATCAGAATCTGGGAATAGATTAGAAACTTTTGAGAGCTACCACAGCTGGTTCTATAGTGGATTTAGGACTAAGAACTCAGCATTTAGCAACTGCCCCCCAACCCACCCTTGGCTTTCTTTCCTTTTCTTTCTTTCTTTCATTTTTTTTTTTTTTTGTGGGGGGAGGATGTTTTTACCTTAGGGCATATGCACTTGCCTGGGAGAGAGAGACAAAGACAGTGGGAGGGAAAGTGAGAAATCACACTTCAGTGGGGATGGCCATGCAACAATCCCTTCTTCTCCCAAGATCTTCGCATGTACACATATGTACCTGGTGTGAGTTTTTTGCTTCTGTTTTTGTTGTTGTTTTGTTTGTTTTAAGAGAGATTTTTGCTACAGGGTGCATGCAATCATTGGAGGGACAGAGAGAGACAAAAAGTAAGAAATCACTCTCCCTGGAGGGATGGCCATGCCACGATCCCTTCTCCTTCATTCTCCTTTTGGGATTTTGGCATGCATGCACACACACCTGGCATGAGTTCTAAGCTGCCAGGTCTGGGACTCAAACTCCCACGTGATTGGCCATGTGGGAGTCAGCAACGTAACTGCTATGTTATCTGTTGGTCTTCCCCCTCCTTGCTTTCAATATAGTATGTAGCTTTCCCCCTACAGTGTGACAAATTCTCTTTAAAGCAAACTCTCCTACTATAATAGGAAGTCATTAAAGATTCTCAACTCCAAATCAGACCTCCAGTTTAAGCAGGAGTGTCCTAAGCCCAGGGCATTCACAAAAAACAAAAAATAAATAAATTGCATCCTCGATATGCCTATTAATTCTTGGGAATATGTAAGTAAGATAACTATGTTGTGGCAAGTGTTTAGGCTTTGTATTGTATTTTGTCAATAATATTAACGCAATAATAGGAGCAAAAAATTTTTTGTCTGAAAACTTAAGATTTCTAGAGATAAAGATGAAAGGACTACACAGTTTATTTCTGAAAAGGTGGTTAACACTTTGTAGAAAATGTCAATTAAAAAAACGCCTGTCTTGGGGCCAGAAGGTGGCATGGTAGTTAAGGTGCTGGATTGCCACATGGTCGACCGTGGTTCAAGTCCTGGACCTGGTGGCTTGAAACTCACACTGGGCACATGTGCATGCATGCCAAAAACCCTGAGAGGAGAATGGAGAAGAAGGGATTGGGATAAGACCATCCCTCCGGGCGGGGGCGGGAACAATTTCTCACTCTTTCTCTCTGGTGAGTGCATGTTCCCTATAGGGAAGAAAAAAGTCTGTCTCATCTGTAATTACTACAGATAGCCAATGTTGATTATAGTTAATGCCAAACAACCACTAACTGAAAAAGTAATTCTGAACCTCTAACATCAAGAATTTGGGCCTGGCTATAGTAGTTGCCAATTGAGGCAGGATAGTGACACAGACAGACCCCACATAATACACTTGTACACACACCACAGACACACAAAATATAAAGAAAAGGCAAACAAATAAATAAATAACAGAATTTAAAACAAGGGCCAGTCATGATATTACACTAGTAAAGACACAATGTGCTCCACAGATCAAAGCCATATGGGAGGCCCAAGTTCAATGTCTGGCCCACCCTAAAAACCAGGCATGGTGGCACATGCTTGTTGTTGTCCTATGTACTAGGGAGCCTGATGGAGGAGAACTACAACAGAGAGATACCTCATTTAATATATACACTATACCTGACTACTTCTTCTTTGTTCACATTTATTAATAGTATACACACGCGTGCACACACACACACACACACACGTATACATACACACACACACACATATATATGTACACATACACATACAGACCTTATATATACACACACATGCACTTTTTTTTAAGTTAGAAATTTAAAACAACTTGGAAGTGGTACAAAACATAATATAATATTGAATACATACAACAGTATTCACATGTTTCAAAAGGCACTGGAAGTAGGAAGCACGAAACTTTGAGGGACAAAAAAAAAAAAGTCGTATTTGGAACATACAATTTTAGTCCTCTGTACAATTCTTCCTTCCTGTCTAGGGAAGTCTCTAATAGCCAGCAGTGTGTTAAAAAAGGGTGACACCAGGTAGGAGGGTAGTAGTCCTGTGTGGGGGACCCAGACCAACTTAATAAGCCTCCTTTCCAGAATGTCCTTCTATGTGAGAATCCATGGTCGATTACTCTTAGCATAGTACATTGGATTGTCTCCCATTTTCCCCATAAAGGAAGGAATAAAAATGACCATTTATTTAAGTTGTGAAAATTAAAAGGGTATTGGACATAAAGAATGTCACACACCTGTGACATGTCACAGTCCTTACTACACTGCAGGAGAGGTATGAGAGGAGGTGGACAGGTGAATGACAGAGGAAAAGTCAACTTGCGTGAGAAGTGGAAGCCAACGTGCCATATAATCATATACATGGTATAGGGGCTGTAAGAAGAAACTTAGCTAAGCTTAGCAGCAAACTGAAAATAAAAAAAGCAAAAAAGAAATATTAAACCCACACAATAAAACAAGAAAAAAAGGGGAAAGAAAAATTAACAGTCAAGATGAGGAATGAGCAGCCTATAGATTAATGCTTAGTAGGGAAACAAGAAGTCTAAATTTAAAGATATAGGTGGCATTTTGGTTGAAGGGGGTACGTAATTTGAATCACATTGTCAGAATTCCTGAGACCATGGATATATCCACAAACCTATTTGCCATGCAAATTGCACATGGTAGAATTTTAAAAAGACTATAAGACAAGTCAAACAAATTATGATTACACTAAAAAATTTATACTCTGATTACTTTTAGTAAAATTTAAAGATATAGGTGGCATTTTGGTTGAAGGGGGTACGTAATTTGAATCACATTGTCAGAATTCCTGAGACCATGGATATATCCACAAACCTATTTGCCATGCAAATTGCACATGGTAGAATTTTAAAAAGACTATAAGACAAGTCAAACAAATTATGATTACACTAAAAAATTTATACTCTGATTACTTTTAGTAAAAGATGTCTTCTTAATTTCTATGTTTAGATGTACTGCTTGACAATTTGAATCACAAAAGGAATATAAATGTGTGTGCATGTGTGTGTGTGTGTGTGTGTATGTGTGTGTGTGTGTTTCATTCTTTGAATCTTTCTCAAGAGAGAGTAGGGGAGAGGTATTACTATATTTTGTATTTTAACATACAGCTCTAAATTAGACAACTAGATCTTCCAAACAAGATAGTTAAGCAAATGCAAAGGGAAAAATTAGAAATTCAAAAAGGGGTGTACAGGGGGGACATAATGGCATAATGGCTATGTCACTGGACTCCCAAGTAGTTGACCGCGGTTTGAGTCCCAGACCCGGTGATTTAAACTCATGCCGGGTGCGTGTGTGTGTGTACCCAAGATCCCGAGAGGAGAATGGAGAAGGGATTGCAGCGTGGCCATTCCCTCTGGAGGGTGATTTCTTGCTTTCTATCTCTCTGTCTCTCTCTGTCTGCCTGGTGAGCGCACGTGCCCTATAGCAAAAACCTCTCCAAAACAAGGAAAAAAAAAAAGGGGGGTGTACAGGGGCCAGATGTTGTTGTGATGATAACAACTTGATGCTCTTTGAGGCTAACCTGCATGACAAGGTTCTAGGTTTACAACTGGAGACCTTTCTGACTTCACTGGGCACACGTGTACCCATAATCTGGGGCTAAGGCTGGGGACTGATCACGGCATGAAGACCCTTTTGAGTGTGCTGTGTGTGTACATGTATGTACATGTATGTCTCTGTCTCCTTCTTGCTCATAAAAGAAAGAAATTAATTGGAACTAGCAGATGGTGTAATGGTTCTATTGTTGGACTTTTATGTAGACAACCATGGTTCAAATTCCAGACCCAGCAACTAAAAACTTATGCCAGGCATACGTGCATGCATGCCCAAAATCCCAAGAGAAGAATGGAGGAGAAGGGATTGTGGCATGATCATCTTCTCTGGGGGTGGAATTTCTTGCTTTCTGTCTCTCTGTCTGTCTCCGTCTCTCTGCCAAGTCTTGCTGTGCTATTGCAAAAAAAAAAAAAAAAAAAAAAAACACTAAAAGAAAAAGAGATATAAATTAATTAACTTAAAAAAAATGTGTGGGGACCAGCAGTTGAAGTAATGAGTATGTCGCTGGACTCCCATGTAATGTACTGTGTGGTTTGAGTCTCGGACCCGGTGGCTTAAACTCATGATGGGTGCGTATGCGTCCATGCCTAAGATCCAGAGAGGAGAATAGAGAAGAAGGGATTGTGGTGTGGCCATCCCCCCTGGGAGGTGATTTCTTGCTTTCTGTCTCTCTGTGTGATGTAGCTTATCTACAAAGTATAGTAATCTGGTCACTACTAATAAAGAAGCCAAGATTTACAATAGTGATCTGACACGATTAATTTCTCTGAGTTCCTCCTCCAGGTGAAACTCTTCCCAATGGACTTGCTCAGCTGTGCAGAATGAGTTACCGTACCTGTAACCAGAGCCTGTCACCTGCCACGGTCCTGCCGATAGCACTGCACTGGAAGGTGGCAAACTGGCCGGCGTTAACTTCTACATTCTGAATCCGCAGAAAGTGGGGAGTTCTGGCTACATAGAGAAAAAGAATTAAAGGTATTAACAGTGGAGCTCTGTAACCAGTAATGTATCTTTTGCAATCTATCTGCAATTTGAGATCTTTCCAATTTGTTCACCATGGGAGAAAATAATGTTTTTGCTTATAAGAACTTTAAAGATTTCATTTTAATTGTAAAAGATATCATGGAAGATTCTGGTGTGCTTTGTAAAAGAATAAAACAGCCAAGCATTCTGGGATAGAACCAAACAGAAAAAAGATATTTTATTGTTCCTGCTGTGCAAATTATCATAGCTCAGCAGTCTTCTTGTAATAACAGATCTGTATTAATAAAGATTATACTGAAGCTTAATTGATGTTTTGAACAAAAACATATTAGATATTTATACTAGCAACATGAAAAGAACAGTAAGAAGTTAAATGATGTTGTCAAGGAAACTTTTTAACCCAAGTACAAAGCTGTGCATAATATATATTTTAATACAACTAATTGGTATGCAACATTACTTGTATAATATTTTCCAGCTACCAAAAATACTATCCCTGCAGACACAGTCTGCAAAATGAGGCTAGGAATGCCATTGCGTGGCAATTTTTGCTGATCCTTATTTCTGATTCAAGAAGTAAGAATGATTCCAAATGCCAAAGAGCATTGTCTCATGGTGTACATGACCCCTATGAGACAGCTGTTTAAATAAAGGAGAACTCTATTTGATCTGAAAAGCACAAGCCAATTTCTGCATCACACTGAAAACATGTATCCAGAAATGAGGATAATAGGTCAGGACTTAATTTTTTAAAAATATATTTAGTAATTTCCTCCATGAGTGAGAGAATGAGAAAGACAGAGCCAGAGAGAGAGACAGGAAGAGAGACGACAGTCCTGACAGGGTCTTGATGGGGCGATCAGCTGCCAGTCTTTAGTCAGTCTCATATCACAGGCAGGCATGTACCTGGCAAACAGAGGGAGGTCTCCAGACTTGAACCAGCAAACTTTTCATGTAGGATTGCCTCACAGAGCACTGGGTTTTATCTCTATGCCACTATCTGACCCCTGGGACTTAAATTTTATAACTTCTTCTTTTAGTAAAACATTCTCTCATCACAACAATGATAGAGTGAAAGTCTAGCAAGAGGGGATAGGGAAAGGGTAAGCAATCGAAAAGGAAGAGGATAAAATGTCAATAATCTCTGGAAGGAACAGATAATCTGAATAGCTATAAATAATTTGATATATCTTGCCAGCTTTTCCCCACTGCCAAGATGTCTCTAGGCCATGCCTAGTCACTTTCAAAAAATAGTGCCCCATCACTGGGTACCAAAGATTATAAACTAGAGCTCATATCAGCCTGAGTAAAACATAATTAGGAATGGAAGTGACTTACTACCAAAGAACAAAGAAAAAGGCATTGTAACATTAAAACACACAGGAGAAGCCCATTACTAATTTGGAGGCCAGTAATAATTCAGACAATGTATTCATGATGCTTAGCCCACAAAATGTTTGAAATGACTTCTAACAAAACAGCATAACTAGGCATTGTTTTCTTAATATATTAACATTCAACTCTATGAACTCAATTTTTCACTAACTTAGTCAAACTTTCCCTTGTTCGAGAATAACATAATACTACAGTTTTAACAATCTTTGGAAAAAGTCCCTAAATCTTCCTGGAAAATAGAAGGACCCATAGTTTTTTTTTTTGTTTTTTTTTTTAATTTATTTTTTGGAGAGGTTTTTTGCTATAGGGCATGTGCACTCACCAGACAGACAGACACAGACAGAGAGATAGAAGAAATCACCCCCCAGGGGGGATGGCCACGCCTCAATCCCTTCTCCTCCATTCTCCTCTCAGGATCTTGGGTACGCACACACATGTGCCTGGAGTGAGTTTAAGCCACTGGGTCTGGGACTGGAACCACGGTTAACTACATGGGAGTTCAGTGACATAGCCATTACGCTAACTGCTAGGACCCATAGTTTTTAAATGGTAAAGGATAAGATTTATTGAGTACTCATGTGGCAGAAACTTTCCCACCAAATATTCACAATTGTGGCTCCATCTATTAAGCCACATCACTGCTCTCAAACTTATGCTCACCATTTTATGCTCATCATTCCACTTGAAGTGGCCCCCTGTCTGCCTTTTGGAATTTTAGCTCTTTTAAGGCCTTATTATTCCTTCCGTAAAGTTTCCATGATTATTTCATCTCATTGTTAGATCTTCTTACATACAATAGCCCTCAAGACTATAGCACCAGTTACTAATGTCTCCCATGGAACAGTCACTTAATATCATTAAAGTTAATACATATTATTTAATAGCACCATGGCCTACTGATTAAGGGAGTCAGATCCCAGATGGCTTACTGTGGTCTCATGCCTTGAAAAACACTCCTGGTCTTATTATGTTTTTTTTGTTTGTTTGTTTTAATGATTGAGTAGTATTTCGCAGTGTATATGTGTCACACTTTTTCAAACTAGTTATCTGTTTGTGGACATTTGGATTAGTTCCATGTCTTAGCAACTGTGATAATGCTGTAATAAACATGGATGTTCAAGTACTTCTACAACTGCCTGTATTCCTATTCTTTGGGTAGATACCCAGGAGTGAAACTTTTGGATCCTATGGTAGTTCTATTTGTAGGCATTTGAGGAACCTCCATATTGTTCTCCATAGTGGCTGTACTAACCAACAGTGTAGGAGAGTTTCCCTTTTTCCACAGCCTTGTCAGCACACGCCCTACAGCAAAAATCTCTCCAAAAAAAAAAAAAAAGCAAAAAATAAAATAAAAAAGAAATGGAGAAGAAATTGCAGCATGGCCATGAACCATGCTGTAATTCTTTCTTTCTCTGGTGAGTGCGCACATCCTATGGCAATTAAAAATAAAAATAAAAATAATAAATCACAGATACCCTTGAAAACTGATCACTTGAGATAATGACTTCTATAGAATTCTCTTCTCCTACTCTCTCTCCTACCTTGCTTCTGATACAAATGAACAAACCTTTCTTATATAAAATAAAATTTAAAAAAATTTAAAACTTTAAAGCAATGCTTATTTTAGGGGTACATACACCAGAGATCCCCACTGTCAACAGAGGGCATGTTGGGGCCAGCAGGTGGCATGGTGGTTAAGGCCACATGGCCAACATGGTTCAAGTTCCAGACCCAGTGGGTTAAAATTTACACTGGGTGTGAGTTGTGTGCATGTTCCAAATCCAGAGGGGAGAGTGGAGAAGAAAGGATTGTGGCATGGCCATACCCCTTTGAGGGTATGGTGATTTCTCACTTTCACTCTCTTTGTCTCTGTCTCTCTCCAGTGAATTCACTGCTCTATGGCAAAAAACTGAAAAATAAATAATAAAATAAATAAAGACATGTTGCACAGAATGAAAACTATTGCTTCGCCTTTAGAATTATTTTGGTCTTTAGTGCAGTTTTCTTGAAGACTGCCAGTACATATTACTTGCACAGTGAAGTTAAGGCTCTAAGGAATTTATGCCTTTGTTCAAATTATATTTTGGAAGGGCCATCCCTGGAACCAGCTGATTCCCTCTGGCCCAGAAAATCGTGTTGCTCGGTTGAGAAAAAGACTTTCATAAAAATAATATGGCTCAAATAATAAACAGAAACCATGTGAAGACATACTAACCTATTAAGCATAAACACTTATATAAGCAAATATTCCTTTTCAAATGAAAGATAATTGACCCAAATGGAAGACAGTTTCTCATCCACCAGGGTGCATATGACAGTGAGACTGAGGAACTCTATTTCTCAGATCAATTTCTTCCAAGAACATGAAAGTCAAACTTTCTGCTCATGGTGTGTATAAGTTTTCTCAGTAAATATTAAAGGCTTATATAATCTTCCAAAGTTTTAAGATGCCTGGATTCTCCCTCTGTCTAGTGCGGTAAATCCTAGAACCATTTTCAGTTGGCAAGTAGTTTAAGGTTGACACTATTTTAAGATTTGGATTTCTGCAAGATTTTGTGTTCAAGCATCAATACTTCAGGCCTTTACTATCTCTGAATACATGAAAAAAAGTCTAAATTTAAGCCTTAGTGGGAACTTTTTAAAATTTATGAAATAGGAAAAATTTTAAAGGTACCTATTTCACAGAGGTGGTATAAAGATTTAAATAAGATGATGCAAGGAAGACATTCTGTGTGCCTGGTACTTGGCCCTTTCTGGAACAGCCAGAAGAGTTTAGATCCCATGCTGAGCCATATGCTCTGAACCTTGCCAAACTGCTTTGATTGTTAACATCAGGTACAGTACCTTTAGAATGGAAAATTTCAATCTATCTCATATTCAAAACAAAGCATTCTTTCACTCTCCAAATTTATAGCCCCATTTGTCTCCTGGATACCCTTTCAAAGGCCATGCCAGCTTTCTCCTAAAATCTGCAGTTCTCAAAAACTAAACATTTTCCATGAATAACAAACAGGTTTTGGGTACAACTTCCCTATTCTCTCATCCCTGCCATGTCCTGTTGCTTTTTACTAAGAAAGAATAGAGGTCTTAGGGTATTAATAAATCCCAAGTCAGCCTTTGAACCCAAAGCCAGGAATTATCATTGATCAAGATGCAAATCTTTTTTTGTGGATGTTTCATTATTATTGGTTCTTCAAAGCCTGCCTCAAAACACTAGCTAAAAATCAGAGAAGAGTAATTTGTGAGATCAAAGTGCAAACTGCAGTGGGACAAAAGAGGACTGTGTCCCAACCTCCGAACCTCCTATTATTTTAATTTACATTTTAATGTAATGGCATAGGTTGAAATGAACTGGATGCCTGCCCAACTGTCAGAGAAAACAGCTAATGTTTTCCTCTATTTGTGTAACATCATCACTAACAAGGAAGCCAATGATGCCAAAAAGAACAGCCTGGTACTGTCTACTCTGCCACTGAAAAACAACAGATTATGCAAACACTCTTTTTGAATTTTAAAATGGACACAACTAAATTCCCCCATGTAAGGTCTCATTCGATTTGGCTGCATAGATT